ACACTATATTGCACTGCATTACACTACACAACACTACACTACATTACACAACACTACACTACACTACATTACACAACACTACACTAATTTATTTGTGTGTTTTTTAAGGTTCTCTGCTCGCTCTTGTGTGTGATCATCCATAATACAATACATAATACAGCTAAGCATGCCATGCTAGAGATTATCATAATGAGGTGATGGTACTATTGCGATGTGCAATTTCTATATATAGTTTCTCATCACGTACGCATGCAGTGACTGAGAATTTTTTTTTTTCGTATGAGAATACTTGTTTAATGTATTAAAGACTGGATGCCACGTAAACCGGAGTTTGCAAAAACAAACAAACAAACAAACAAACAAACAAACAAAACAAAATAAAACATTCATTATATTCTTTTTTTTCTTTCAAAATCCTTTAAATAAACACACGATTACAAACTAGGTCACTAATCGCTATTTTTTGTATTTGTCGAAGATGTAGCAGGAGTTTAAAAACAAGGTTAAATGTTGTTTTTTGAACAAGATCGCGCTCAGATGTTTTCACGTTTTCACGTTTTTAATATAAAGCCCCGTGACGTGCTGACACACACAGCGCGCATGTCTCTACTGTCATGCCAAGAATCATAGACCTTAGTGTATCATTACTATCAAGGTGAATATGAATACGAATGAATAGCACATATGGTACGGCGAATAATGCAAATCTGTACATATACATACGGGTATAAGGTTGAGTCCGCTGTCATAATCACAACTTTAATAATTACGTGGGTATGACGTCACTACCCTTATGAAGTGATGGAGTGGTTGTTGTTTCTTGGCACCACCTACTGTTGTGGGAAGACATGATCACTTTAGGTAGAAGCTTACTCATATATTTTTTAGAAAGTTTGTTATAAATTGCATGACAATGTTCATATGTTTATTTTGTACAATCATAAAGCTTTAATTTTTTTCCCATGGCATAATGAAATAGCATTCATATGTGCGTTACAGGGACGTATTTTGAGAAGCTCGTCGTAATATTCGCTATTATTATTTTTTAATTCTATGGCACACAATGTATAAAAGATGCCCTTTTTTGATACTTTTTCAAGCTAAAACACGGAATTTTTGAAATAATTTAGCACAACATAAAGTACCCCATCATTCACAATATATGATTTGTTCAGCCTATG